GTACCCAAAAATTAATATTAAAAAGTTTGAAATTTTAATGAAAATTTATTGCACTTTCCTAAATTTTGTATAAAGTTTGAAACTTTGAATAAAATAGTTTTGGATAAAGCTTGGGCAATATTTTTATAGAAAAATAAGAAATTCAACTTGAAAAACATTGCGAATATTTAAAAAAAAATCAACACTTGTTTGACTCAATGCACCCAGCGACAAAAGATAGCACATCAACGTTTTTACCAGTTTTGGTACCGTCAGCACTTAGTCAGCAGTATTTCACTTGAATTAAAAAAAAAAAACCGATCTATCTGCGAACTCAAAATTTTTCTAAAAATTCAGATTAATAAAATTATAGTTTAAAAGACTAAAATCCTAAAAACTCGCTTTTATGATTTCCATTCGTACTGTCAACAGGTATGTAACTTGAGAATGGAAATTTTTAGAATTGTTTTGAGTATGCAGTTTTGCAACCCATTAAATTCTAGTAAAAAAAACTGCAAGTTCGGAGTTGGTCAAACATCGCAATGATTTTTGACAATTTTTTCCATATAAAATATTTTCGTTTTTTTTTTTATATGGAAGAGACTGCGTGAAAAAATTGACAAAAATCAACGGTAATTCCTAGCTACTTAAAACTTGTATTTTATATTATATTAATTAAATTGATAATTAATTTCAATATTAATACATATCAGACGCAACTTTATCTTACCGGATTCAAACAAGTTCAAATCAAAATACATCCTCTGTAGGCAAGAGGCATTTACATACACACATATGCATGTAGATATGTAAATATTTAGTTACTGAAGGGCACCACAATTAAATCTTAAAAAACTAATATGTATGTATATACATATAGTACATGCATACCCTGCAGAAAAAAATTACCAATTTATAAAATATGTATAACCAACTTGTAGTTAGNATACATATAGTACATGCATACCCGCCAGAAAAAAATTACCAATTTATAAAATATGTATAACCAACTTGTAGTTAGCTTAGTTGCGGAATTTCTATAAAATATATAACTTGCAGTTAGCTACAAAAAAATATTTTGTTTTCCTTATTGATACCAAAACCTAAGGGTAACCACCCTTGACTACATCTAAGGCAGAGGTAACCACCCCGGGCTATTTCACGACCATCGCCATAGAAATAAGTTAGCTTTCCTCAAAGAAAATAATCAACTTCGAGTCAATTTATAGTTGGATACATTTCCCGCAGGGTAAACATTCATATCTTGGAACAAAGCAGACCCAAGAATTCCACTAAGTTTAAAGTCAGTTTGTTAAGTTAATTTGTTAATTCGATAAACTGGTTTTAGTGTTTCATCAAATCCACAGTCGAATATGTTATCAGTGCCGAGCATAATTATCAAACTTGTTGCTCGTAATTTATGTATATCCATATCCACATACACATTTTCATAAACATACATACAGTGACTCAAACAAATGACCACGTGTTGTTTTCTTTTAATATTGGTAATATTTTTCCAGATAATTTTTTTTTTGTTATTTTTATATAAAAATATCGTCTAAGCTTTAACCAAAACCGTGTAAATCAAAGTTTCAAACTTTAAACAAAGTTTAGGAAAATTCAAAAAATTTCCTATCAAAATGTCAACTTTTTATTCCGAATTTTTAGAAATTTTTGGGTATGCAGTTTTATAGCCCATACAATTTTAGTTTAATGAAGTGCAAAATTCAAACGGCAAAAATTGCGTTGATTTTTGAGAATGAAATTTAGCTCGAAAAACATTACGAATATTTGAAGAAAATCAACACGTGGTCATTTGTTTGAGTCACTCTATATGCATTTATATACAGCTTACGTCAGAGATTTAACACCAAAATTTTAAATGATATTGTTGCAGCTTATGTTTTATTTATTTATTTTTAATAATTTTCATTTAACATATAATTGAGTGTTTGGAAGTTTACTCAAATTTAACAAAAATTAATCAAGCTTCAAAAAACTGTCATCAAAATTTCAAACTTTTTAATCAGAACCTTTAGAAAATTTTCGGGTATGCAGTTTTTTGTAGCCCATTCAATTTTAGTCTAATAATATGCAAGTTTAAAGTCGCTAAAAGTTACTGTTGATTTTTTGATTTTTTTTTTTGTGGAGGATGTTGTGCATTTTCCTTCATATAACGTATGATCAAAATCTTTTTTTTATATGGAAGAAAATGCACAACACCTTACAAAAAAAACTCTAAAGATCAACGGTAATTTTTAGCGACTTGAAACCTACACTAAAATTGAATGGACTACAAAACTGCGAACTGGAAAAATTTTTAAAGATTCTGATAAAAAGTTTGAAATTTTGATGTGCATTTTTCTAAGTTTGATTATTTTTTTGTGAAATTTGGGAACATTCCGCCATCTTGGATTTTATGTTTTTTGTTTTTTTTTCGATTTGTAAACTTATGCGTTTTTCGTACATAGTTAGTTACATACTAATTTGTAGAGAATTTAATTTCCGAAATTTTTCCTTTTTTCAAATATTCAGGTGTCAAAGTTGTAGACAATTTCATTCCCCACAACTCTTGTACGAACATTTCACGAACTGAACGTGCCATACATAGCGAATGTAAGGGAAGCGGCGTAAAATTTACATCCACCTCACGTCAACCGGTACAGTGCGATGGCCAAAATTCTATAGAACGGATTACAAAGAATAAGGTCTTAAAATTATCACGTAGACACATCCCTATTGAAAACAGTGTGGCCCTTTGAAAAATGCAACAAGGCGTCTCAAATATGGCATCTAAACTAACCGTAAATTAGGTTTTGCTTTAAAAATTTTTTGCCACTGGAGAACCCAACACTATAAAAGAAAGGAAAAAGTAACAGCAGGTTCTTATGTTTTTGAGGTTTCTGATTACGAACTTCGAGCATGATTTTACACTATGTTTAGTAAATATTGCAGAGAAGAGGCAGATGAAGAAACAGTCGAACACTGCTTCTGCAGTTGCCCTGCTTTAGCTAAGAGCAGAGCAGCTATTTAGGTTGGACACTTCTTTGGCACTCTTTCGGAACTTTCCGGTGTAGAAAAACCAATCCTACCCTTCTTAAGAGCTTCAAAATGGTTCCATGGAAAATAGTCACTGAGGCCCTCGTGTTTCACTGTGGTATCACAATGGCCCCGCAGGGTCTAAGTGACAAAATATTCCGATTTATTAAAAAAAAAATAAAATAAAATGACAGCACCTTGAGAAAACGAACTGTTCTTTGAACTAAAGTACGGTTGGTCACCGTTGATATATGTAAAATAACATTAGTGATGTGCAGCTCCATTCAATCGGGCTGAAAACCATGTTTCATCTTCTACAGTAGCGTTGCTGCTATTTTTAGCAAGTTTTAGCAGCAACAGCCTCGGCCGCAGCGCAGTAAAGTTGAAAAATGTTCACTTGTTTTGGTTTCCAATTTTTCACAAGTATTTAGTTTAGTTTTCTAATTTCTTTCTACACATATTTCTTATTATTATTTTCTTCAATTATTTTACGTTTCGCTTTGCTAAATTTCAGTTGGCCAATGTCTATAGCAAGCGGCACATTTGTATTCATGCCAAATTTCTTAGTTTCATAGTTATTCTAATGTACAGAATATGTACATACTACATGCATGTGTACACACCATAAGTAATGTATGTACATATGTTTATACATATAATATATATGTATTAACCTACATATTGGCACATACTATGTCCGTATGTACACACATACATACACACATACATACATACATATGTACATAAGACCACAAAAGTATTACTTCACCGACAATTTTCGCACAACTTTCAGCTTTTCAGCTACTTTGGGTGGCAGCCACTTTTTCGCAGTTGCAGTAACAGAAAATTTTTGTAATTAAAATTCTAGGTGCGTGGTAAGGTAAAAATAGCATAGAACTTTATTTAAGAATCTCTTCACTAACCACCAACTGATTTGGCATAGCCAATATGCAGTGCGAATACTCACACACAAACTCATAACCGTTATTCTCACAATTCTCAATTCTAATATCCTGCTACCCCGGTACGCTCATTTAACGTACTAGTCCTTAAACAACATTATTACCTGTTACCCGCTTCAATTTCGATTTAATATTGGTAACCACTATGTAGTATGTGTGTATGTATATATGTATGTAGGCATGTGGCCAGTTGGTCAGCCCAGACATTTCATTTATTTTGTTGCTGTTATTTTTTTTAGACTTTTTCATACAACTTTGTTCGTGCTTGTACTCGTAAACAATAACAAGGCACTGCAATAAGTAGCAAAGAAAATGAAAAGCAAATAGGTATAAAAGCCACAGTAATTTGTGCGCATATCATCACAGTAACACCTTCTCCCACTTCGACTCTCACTTCCAAACAACATACATACATACATACATATTATGTATAGACATATTTACATACATATGTATGTTAAAATATGTATGTACATACATACGCCACATCCAGGTCACTGCATTGCGCGAGTGCAATTTTAATCCTTGCGCTCACTGGCTATGCGCACATAAAATTGGGAAGCATTGAAAAATTCCTGACTGACTAACTCACCCACCTAACGCATCTTATTCGAATATTTTTCTCCTTATTTATGTAGTAGAGATGGACCACCATATCCTTTGACGGCAACCACCAACCGTTGGCCAGCCAGTCAGCCGACCATTTAGTCACACGACCAGTCGGTCAGTCAGTCGGTCAGTCAGTCAGTCAGTGAGTGAGCCAGTGAGCCCATCATTTAACCACCCTNACTTATTTATGTAGTAGAGATGGACCACCATATCCTTAACGGCAACCACCAACCGTTGGCCAGCCAGTCAGCCGACCATTTAGTCACACGACCAGAGTCGGTCAGTCAGTCAGTCAGTGAGTGAGCCAGTGAGCCCATCATTTAACCACCCTCCGAAAGTGGGCTTAATTTTTCGAACTTGTACCTTCACACCACCGCAATAAAGCAAAAGGGAAAATCACTCTCCTACCCTGAAATGTATCTTTAACGGTTCTTCTTCTCGTCCGTCGTTGCGTTTTTCGAACTTCAACTTTCTTCTACTAATTTTTCTGGAGCCTGCTGACAAATTTTTCACTGCATATCCTGCAAAATTTTATGCACCAATACACTTGTATACATTTTTTTTTTTACTCACATTCAACACTGGTCGGTAATTTTATTAAGTTCTTATTAGTTTCCAATAAGAATTTCACAAAACAAAAAAACAATCAATTCTCCACTGCGACCAACAAATTTTCCCGTCCGCGACAAAATGATGTGAAAGAAAAACTAATATTTTTCGTTCTCTGCTAATACATGACTAGCTCTCACCAGTGCTGACAAATCGCTACGCACTCAAAGGCACACAAGATGGCGCCTGGTTTTAGTTTGTGTGGAGCGCATGGTAGATGTCGCCAACGTTGGGGAGCTCTTGTCTTGACTAAAGAGGAGAACGTAAATTCAGTTTCCTTCAACGTTTACGTTCTTTTGTTTGTTTTTAAATTTGTACGTTATTTTAATTTGAAAATTGAACTACGTTATTAGATCAGAACCGCATAGTCCACAGTCTTAAAACAACATAGCTTTTGCTGCTGGAAAGTGCTGGTTTTGATGAAGTTTTCTGTCTCAGACCTACTAGGACTCTTATTTTCCTCGAGTAATTCATTTGAATCTATCTCGGTCGAGACAAATGTTTGTGTTTTCGCTTTTGATAGATATCCCGATTAGTACCTTTCCAATGGTATCTCATTTTTGTAATTAGGCAAAAACTAGCAAACTCGAGTTTCGATCGATTTTGCCACGCCCATAAATCATATTTTTTTTCAATTTTGAATGAAACGTGATGGACATAGCAGAATGCGTTGATTAAACAGGTGACAGGAGACAGCACATAAATTTGGCATGGAATTGGTCAAAACCTCCAGAAAACCACTTCGCTATCCCACGATCAAAGAACAAATGCCGAAGCTGATCATGTTGTGAGAGACGAAAGAGACCATTCACCGATCTTGTCGACAATTCCATTTGAGCGGCCAACATCGTTGCAGCTGGCTCTCAATCCTGCATAAACAAGCAAGGAGAGAGGTGGTTAATTACTACCACCCAAGCAGAAACAGCTGGTGGCAAGGACTGCCGTGTCGCCGTTGCTGAGGAAAACAGAGTATACAGGCAGGACTACGCCCCGAAAACTCCGTGGGCAAATAAGGCCGAAATTGAATGGGTTCAATACTGTTTGATCTAGTTCCTGCAGAGACGCGAATGTTAATTTGGTAACAGACGTAGACTAAACTTTAAATATGAAGTTGAGACTTCTCAAACCTTTTGTCATTCGACACAAATGGAGCATTTAAGGGAAATGATACCCAGATCAATATATATAGGGACGAAGCTCCCTTCGCGCCTGTACTATATCCGCCTCTACGACGCCATACGGTTTTGATTCTATTAAAAAGGTTTGCCACCTTTAACAAAATTAAATTGAAATTATTTAATAAGTTAAAAGAATCATAAAAAATGGGTATCAATCGAAATGGAGTTTGAAAAGGCTTAATTTCTAAGACACATGTAGGGGAGTTAGGTAATTGAAATATGTATCAAAATATGGATGTTACATAGTTAAAGTGGTTTAAGAAGGTTTTAGCTTGAAAATATTTTGAAGAAGGTTGCCACTTGTTTGAGAAGACGAATTAAATTATATTTTACACAAGTTATATGAAATATTAAATTATGGGTTTCAAGCAAAAGTGCTAAAAATTTTGGATTTGAAAATTTAGAATATTTTAAGGGGGTTGCCACCCGTCAAAAAAGTTATGTGCATAAGTATATTCAAATTATATATTTAAAAAGTTAATTGAATCATTAAAAGGTGGGTATCAAACTTTTGAAAATGCTTTATTTATAAATAAAATGTAGACGGGTTGCCAGATGTCTAAAAAGTCGAATTAAGCTTAAATCATCAGTTAATTGATGCAAGGTATACATATGTATATCACAATATGGTTGTTACAAAGAGGTTTAGGAAGGTTTTAGTTTAAAAATAATTGGGGTTGCCACCTGTTTGAAAAATCGAATTTATTTAAATTATACACAAGTTATATGAAATATTGAAATATGAGTGACAAACCCAAGAGTTTTAAGAAAGCTTTCGTTTAAAACCAAAATCAAATCGATCTCAAATTTCAATGCGCGGTAAACTATAGTGTGAATTGCCTAATGGGAGCAAAGTGACCACGATATGCAATAGTCTGTAGAATTACTGCCAATTAAATCTAATATAAGTGTTAGTGAACTACACATAGCACTTCAAGTCTATTACATGCGCCCTATGTTCTTCATTTTAAATCTCATAAATTGTTTATAATTATTATTGAAATTTTAAAATCAAAAGTTTTGAAGACTAATCCTATGAGTCTAAGAAAAAATGATTTTCTACTTTTTAATTCTTTTAGGTGTTTTTATTTGATTTTTTTAACTTAATTTTGTCTTTTATAAGTGCCTAAAAAATAAAAAGCAAAAGTTACGAATTATTTACAGATCAAAAAAATTTCGGGAAAATTTAGGTTTTTATTTTTGTCTTAAAAAAATAAGATGCAAAAAATATCTGTCTTTCTTATTCAAAATAACAAATGCCATGTTTATGGCTATGCCATAAGTTTACTAAATTTCTTTTCTTCACGCTACTTTCGCCATATAATTGTACAATTTGATTTTATTACCGGTCACCGGTCTTTTGAGCTAACCACAGCATTTAATCGCACACTCGCTCGATAGAACGGCAGATGGTTAAAGTTGAATCGCGTTCGAACGACTGTACCTTGGAAAAACGTTGCAAACAGATTAGTAATCATGCTATTTAAATTTAAATTAATATTAATTTCTTATTAGATACATGTGTACTTGTGTACATACATACATACATAACACCTAATCATCACTTGTATTTACTTCCACTTAAGATCATTTTGAAATATCCAACCTTAACTTGTTTCATTTCGTTGCCGTCAGATGTCGCTCAAGTAATCGCGATGGTTCATCATTCGAAAAGGGAAACAAAACAAATGTGCACTTTTATTCACCTCACTGGTGAATAGATTTGTTAATTCTGTCGCGGAGTGCGGTTGTGTTTTGTGAGCGGTGTCTCGCGATTTCTTCGTCGGTGATTTGGTTTTTTTTTTTTGATTATTGCTTGCCATGCGTTGCTGTTTGTTCTTTTTGTTGTTGTTGGGTTGTGCGGTTTTTTTAATTAATGCTGATTTTTTAAATTAAATTAATCAGATGCTACATACATATATGCTTGCCATCAAATAAAATAAAGTGCTATCGAATATGAATGGAATATGTGAGCTGTACACCAGTAAAACGTGATTTTACCAACCACTAGAAACTAACAAAAAAAGTGCTATGGTGCCAAAATTAAAACGGAAAAAGCAATAAATAAATACCTAATAAATGGGAATGTACTCCTGCAAAAAGCTGCAAAAAAAAAGTTATCAACGAATTTGAAAATAAGAAAAAAGAGTGGAATTGCTGTTAAAAGCAGGGAAAAAATTGAAAAGAGAAATAAAATTTTGGTGGTGCGTTCAATTGTCTGTTTTATGTTTTATGAATACGAAATATCGTGTTTTTGTTTGCTGATTTGCCGATTCGTTTGCTTTCCGTCTGCCGGTTCAAGTTCTTCTGCTTCGCCTGTTGCGTTAATTGCGTGCGTGTTTTACTATCGGCGTGTGTGTGTTAGTGTTGCAACGTGCATACTTATGTATGTATGTGTGTGTAGCGTGTGGCGCGACGTACATATGGAGCAAGTGTCATGCTGCATTGTGGATCGATCGTCGGCTGGAGGTAACGTGGTGGACACACAGCTTCAACAGCAGCAATAACACACATCAGTTTGCATCTTCAACAACAGCGAATAAAACCAATACGCATTTCTTTGAGTGCAAAGATCGCTGTCTATAGTTTTCTCTCCTTTCTGTGTTGTTCTTTGCAACGGTTTAATGCTGTTTGGAGACAACAACGACGACGACGACGACGGTGGTGTCAAAGAGTGCTATTGTGACTTGCAATTACCAACTGCTCAAACGCTTTGTGGCAGTTATCACCGTTTTTGGGCTATTAACCATAAACCGGCTTATTCCTCATTCAATTGGATTCTTCAAATTCCACGAACTGATCGATCATGCGAAGATCTGCGCTCAACCGGAATCATTACTTTGTATTTGGGATCCTGGTAGGATTGGCGCTGAGTTTATACTTGCCAGAAGATGTGTGGGATCTGGTGCAGAAAGAAGAATGTCCTCAGGAGGCTGCTGAAAATAGTCTGATCGAGAAATTTGGGCAAGATTTCGAACCACATTTAAATTTAATCAGCAAACCATTGGCGGCTAAGAAACCGGTAAGTTTTAGTACGAAAATTGGGTTATATTCGGCAGCAAGTTTCCTAAAGTAGTGTGATTAGTGGTTTTAAGCCGAGCTGCTGCTGTTTTCGAAATAACAAAATGATATTCGAGTGTAATTTGCGAAGTTCAAATACCCTCTCATAGAGGTCAGTTTCACAAAACCACCATGAGGGATGATCCTTGTATCATCCAGGAAATTGTTCTTGAAAACAGAAAACTCCCTTTGAGAAGGGTATTCAAAATTATACAAATCAAGGACTGGCAATTTTTCGAGCAACCCTCAAGCTCCACCTTAAGGAAAATACAACAAATGACTAAAATGGGCCCCAGACTAAAATTTTGTAAAAATTACACGAAGAAGTCGGGATTTTGAACAATATAGAAAACGGTTAAACAATCCTAGTTGATGCGGTAAAATACGTCACAAGGCGCCCAGGAGAAAATTTGCTCATATGTGCATCCAAAGTCGCATGGAGCATCCTCCTTCGGTGATAGTCTTGGTATCAATCAGCTCAGGAAGGCCAGAACCTCCGTTTATTAGGTGATACTATAGGGCAAGCAAATAATGATGACACCTAGGGCTTCTTCTAAGAAAAATGCTCCGTGCTTACAATAAAGCTCCTTAAGCGACTGATATCCATTCCCGAAAGTTCATCAGGAGTGTGGAAAAAGTGCGACCTAAAGCGCTCGGCACCCGCCTGTCCATAAATAGAACCCATGGGATCAGGGAACACCCAGTGTCTACCCGGGAGCACTTCCCAAGGATTCCCTGTTTTGCCAGCTCACCGGTCATGCAGTTTGTAGCAATTTCTATTTGACCCGGAACCCAAATAATAGCTTATTGGCTCTCGGAATAGAGTAACCAGTCCGAAGCCTTCTCAGCCTCTGCTCGGAAAACGCTACAGTGATCCGGTAGCCTAAATTCCAGGTTGATGGAGCGTTTTTTGGCTGAAGACACCTCCACCTCTTCCCATTCAATTTCGATACATTCGTAAATAAATTAAGAGGCCCTGAATGCATATACTGCACACCTCCCAGTCCTCACTCGCTGGAGGTGGTGAAAGATCCATTTGCACCCGAACCCGGCGAGTAGTTCGTCCGAGTTGGTGAACATCTCATATAAAATGCAAAGGAAAGTTTTTCATATAGTTTCGGTGAAAACCGCAAATAGGTTAATCAAAATTCGTTACAATGCTTACCGCGCTTTAATCGAGGTACTTGAGGTGGGAAAAACAAGAAAAATCGTTAACCCCTCTGGAAATAAGGCGAATTTCTGAGAAACGCACAGGCAACCTTTATCCTAGAATGCAGGGAATAGGCACGGACTTCAGGACCACAAAATCTAACATTACTCGTATCACTTCTCAGATATTTTATGACCTTACAAAAGGGTGGGTTGTTGTAAAGAGTTTTTGGAAAATGCTGCTAAAATGAGTGTCCTTTGCAAGATATAAATCTGGGTCAGTCCGGTCGCGTAAACCCCGCTGTCGTTACCAGCTTTCTAAAGCATTTGGTTTCGGCGCCAAAACACGACCCTTTACCTGACTATCACAGAGCTGACACTTCTGAATGAAAAAGGTGGGTCTCCTACTGTCTGTCTGATCATCAATCGCTGATTTATTTCTAAAATCAAAAGGGAGTATTTTATTCGACTGTACACATGTAAGTCCCACATAGTAAAGATATTTTCCAAGGCAAGAATCAGCTTACAAATGAAAATAATTGGTATCCTTTACCAGCTTGACAAATTCTTCTCCGCGAGGGATCTCAGAACAAACCAGTTTCAAATGCAGTGCAGCAAACACGTTTAATCACGTAAAAATTTTGGGGGTAAGAATGGCGGCAGAACATCACCTCCACGACGGAAGCTTGTAGCTGCCGATGGAAGAGCGAAGCGATTCCTCCCACCGTGGTAAGCATGTCAACAACCGTCTTCTTTGGAATCAGCCACCATGTGACATTAGATAAGCTACATTCCCGATCGAAGTAATAACATTAAGTTTTCCCTCTTGCTCTAAGGCGTTTAAAAGTGGCCATTAAATAAAACGCAGAGAAGATTCATATTTGTGGTTACTTGTTAGAATAATCTAGCGTGACATGACACGCACCTATCCTCGGTTGGTGTCGAGAAAGCCTAGTTTCCCTGTACCACTCCGACAATCCGACGCCATCACTTTGAACGCCGCAAGTCCAAAGGGAAGACATAAATGTTGATATCTGCTTTTGATCCAAAGAAAATACTTTTGGTGAGCTGCGGCAAGTAACGTTTTAGTATTTGCCATATTTGGCAGGAGTTAGTTATCCAGCTCTTGAGGCTACTGAGCCAATTGTCCATCCGTTATGGAAATTAGCCTGCAAATTAAGCATTGACGTAATATTAGTATCTCCAATGTTTTACTATTTTAGCTTGAGCTAATACTCACTTTTTGAAATAAATCGGTATTTATCCTGGGGGTTTCTGAAGGTAGAAATATATAAGACAGTAATGGACAGATAAAGCCTCTATTCTGTGCATTTCCTTACAAGCAAGCCGCTGCCTCTGGCCGGTGGTAACATATCGCTGATAGCTCAAATCTTTAAGACTGTTATTTCACAATGAGCCCAAACTGATGGTCTCTCTAGAAACCCAGTTAGCTGAATATAAGCGTATTTTTTCTTTATAGAAAGATCAACCACGTTCATAACCTTTTTTTTTGCTTACAATCTGATTGCCCCAGTAATCGTTAAACAGGCTGATTGAGTCAGATGGCGCGAAAATGCCGCTATGTATTTGTTGATATTGAAAGATGGACACGCGCAAAGCTTCATACTAGGCAAAGATAATTTCTTACACTTAAACACTATCTGCACATTTATACACTCGGCGTCCCCTATAAGTATCCAACGCAGAAGCTCAGCAGCAATACAACAGCTATTACTCTTAATATTTTCAATGAATAAAAGAAATTGCAAAATATATGCGACTAATTTCTAAAGCGAGAAAACTCGGTTCAGTTTCCGTGCATTGCAATTGGGTATCTATTATTCTCGACTAATCTCATAAGCATACATTTCAAGATTGTTCTTATTTGGCACTACAACCGTTTGTCGGTTTAGGCTGAGACCGAAAACTTTTGCCAATTGCCTCTTTCCTTTCCGAATTCGCTCCAGTTGTTCATCCTGAGTGCAGACAGATCCTTTTTCACCTGGTCTTTCCTTCCACTCTGTTCGTGCCAAAAGTGCCAAGAGTTATCCTTCGTTTGATCTCTAGGCTAACGTTAGCGATAGATACTAGGTAGACAAAGCCCTTCACTGCCTCAAATCAAGCGCTGGCGTCCTCAAGTTTCAGACCGATGATATCGATATCATCCGCATATGCCACCTGTATCGTTCTTTTGCTATAATTAGCGATTCAGATTGGCAGCTCTTATTAAGCTTTCCAGCATCAGATTGAAAAAGTCGCCCTTGAGTCACCTTGTCTAAAACCTCCTTTGTGCTGAAACGGGGCGGGGAGAAGTCTTTCCCAATTTGAACGGAGCTGAAAGTTGTGCTCAACGTCAATCTACATAGCCGTATTAGTTTTACAGGGATCCCAAATTTAGACATGGCGTCGTCGTACAGGCAGCTTCTCTTCGTGATATCAAAATCGGCTTTTAAATCGACAAAAAGATGGTGTGTGTCGTTTGCACATCGATTGGCTGAAGGGAAGATCAACCTATCTCGGCAGCCAGTTCGAAAACGCCCTGTCTGACTTTTCAAGAACGCCCTATCTCAAATGAAAATATATTGAAAATGTGCTGAGACAAGGTGTTTTTGAATCGGCAGTTGGGATAGAGCGTCTTTGAACCGAATTCTGAAATAGGGCGTTCTTGAAAAGTTGTCGAGTTTTCCACTCAGCAGTCGATATCTATTGTCTTCTCCGACTTTTGACGTGCTGTGAAAGTATGGTCAATGGTGAACTCACCAGGTCTGTAGCCACACTGATATGGTCCAACAAATTGGTTCGTGAAGGGCTTCAATCTTCCCTACAGTATCGTGGACAGGACCTTGTAATCAATATTAAGAAGGCTTATTTCACTACAATTGGAGCAATCGGCATTATTCCCCTTCTTGTGTATTGGACAAATTACACAAAATACACTGGGATTTCAGTGTACTCACCTCGTCTTGGTCGAGTGGAGGGACGTGAGCTTATACACTGGTTCGGGTTATTCTTCATCAAACGCTCCACCTGTTTTGCCATATCTCTAGTATACTCCGGGTGTCGGTTACCAGATTTCCATCTTTATCTTTCCAGGAGCAAGCCCCGGTCTTAAAACCATTTGATTTCTGCCTTATTTTCTGATAGAATTTTTTAGCCGAACTCAGACCTTTCTGCCTCTCTTCTCATTCTCTTGAAAAGACGTCTCTCTCTTCTCTCCTTTTTCGCCATTATCGCTCACTTGTCGCGTGAGTCGCCAGTAGCTTTGTATGCTGCGTATTTTTCTGCAGCAGCTGCTTGGCACTCTTCGTCATACCAGTTGTTTCTGCGAGGTTGGTAATAGCCAACTAACAATCTCTTCTGCAGCAGTACGAAGAACATTGGGAGATAGATGGAATCCCACTGCTAGTTTATGTCCAGGCGGAGAGGAGTTGCATGTTTAAACAAGACTGAAAACATAAATTATTATTTGTTAATTAGTCTTCGATTCATCTATTAAAGCTACAATTAGCATTTCAGTGATATGTACGCCCTTAAAAAATAAAATTTCGTATGTGACGTGAGCTACCAGTCGAAACTTCTAGAGGGACAATTTTCTCAGTATATTTATGTATTTGAAAAAGTCAACCAGCTTCACATTTATTCAGGTATAGAAGCATAAAATTAATTTGTATATGCGACATTCTCGAACAAAATCGAACAGAGGTCGAGGTGGCATCTCGCGCTTGTTTCTTTGCGACTGATCCCCTGGTCATACCGGGCTAGTCACATTTTCTGCAGGGGTACTTTTGATACTGAAATAATTATTACTAGCCT